TTTTTTTTTTTTTTTGTCTCTTTCTCTCTCAATAGAAGCAAGTTGGTCACATTATGGAGGAGTACAATGATGCAGTTCAGAGGGCTGCAAGGCTGTCAGTTGCCCGAGAAAACTTCCTAACAGGAAAGAAAAATCCTGTAAATGTGGTGACCCAGGAAGACCTAGTTATTTACACACAGTGGCTAGTGTGTCACCTACACTCACTCAAGGCCATTCACAGCTATCTTAGGGTAAGAAGAGCAAGAGAAAAATGATTTGACTGAATTGGAGGATGATAAGGTATCTGAAAACTGAAGGCAGTTTTGTTTTGGGTGAGGGAAATCCTTGCAGGAACGCTGCAGCAAGGGTAAAAATGTCAACAACAAAAATTGAAAACCAGGTAGGTTTTAAACCAGGTTAAACCTACAAGAAACCCATAGAGGTGAAACAAACTCCACTGTCAAAATGCCTGATGACAGGCTGGTAAACCACACAATTCTGTTAAGTGTGGGGTAAGACATTCCTGAGTTTAAGATAGCTGTGATTAGCTACTTGGGATTGATAAGGTCTAGGGCAGTGGCTCAACCTTTTAAGGCTGAAGACACCTCTCATTAGACCCCAAGCACCCCTCAGAAAATACTAGCTCTTAGCTTTCACTTGTTTTTTGAATATGGAAAAATAATAGAACAATTGTTCTGTTGCAAAGAACTCAAAAATACCACAACGGGGCAGAATGTTTTTGACACTGCAGATTCCTATTTGAGCTCTGAGTTTTCTTGTGAATAATTTATGGGCATGGGTAAATCTAAGATTTTGAAAACGGGTGCAGATGGTTTGGTGCATCATTATGTATAACACAACACACCTTTTTCTCCAGTTAAAAAGAAACTAGAAGTTTTGCTAATAAGTAGGGGCCTAGAGCTATATTATTCAATTTAAGATTGAAGCAAAAAATAACTTTATTGGAATGAGTATTAATTTGCTATATCATATGTATAAAAGCACAACAACCTAGGCAAAAATAATCCCGATATGTTGTTTTATTAGTCCTGGAGTCATTAGAGTTGCATGTACATCTTTTTTTCAGATTCATAAAACAAAATCAAGCCTCCTTGAGCATCTAAACAGTGCCTCCAATGCTTTAGTGAAAGTGATTTCCACACTTGAGCTAATGTTCACCTGAGTTAATATTTCCACACCTGAGTTAAATGTCTTTAGCTATTGAAGGGATCAAAATGGGGTATAAGTACATCAGTGCACTGCCTCTAGATCTGCCCCTGTTTGCATAGTGCTAACATTGTGAAGCACCCTGCAGCATACTTCAAAGGATCTCGTTGCAGTCCAGGTGCTGTAGTATCCTGGTTAAGAATCACTGGTCTAGGACAGAGGTCCTCAACCATTTGCCCCACAGGCCAGTATCAGGCCTTGCGGTCTGGAACCATGGGCGACTGGTGCCACCTTAGTCAGGGGGGGCATGTGCCCCCCCCCCAGCAACCAGTCAGCAACTGGGGTGGGGGTGGTCCCAACATGGCCAATCTCACCAACCGGGGGGTCCCCCCACAGGCAGCCAATCTAACCAATTGGGGGGGGAGGGTACCCCTGTGGCTGATTGCACTGAGTGGGAAGCAGCTGCAGTGCTCTCACTCCCTGGCCAGCGCTCACAGGGGGGGCACCAGAGTTCCCGCCTGCCCCCCTGCCCATCCCCTAAGTGGAGAGCATGGCCTGTTAGGGGGTGCATGTGCACCCCCATCCACCCCTTATGCATTGCCACTGCTCAGAAGGTCACCTAGTCTAACCCTCTGCTCAAGGCAGGATCATCCCTGGCTAAACTATCCCAGATAAATGCTTGTTGAGCCTGCACTTAAACACTTACAGTGGCAGAGATACCACAGCCACATACCCACTTTCTGATGTTGTAAAAAACCCTTAGTGGGGAAACAGAATCCATGTGTTTATGGGTGACTGGTACCACCTTAGTCAAGGGGGGCATGTGTCCCTCCAGCAACCAGTCAGCAACCGGGAGGACACCACATTTCAAGAGCTAGGGGAGCCTCGCAGGCCGGTTGACACAGCTCAGCAGGCTGGGTGTGACATGTAGGCCAGGGGCTGAGCACCTCTGGTCTAGGGCATGAACAGAGCAGCCCGGAAGGAATAAGTTTGGACAGGTTATTTTGGCTTATGGTTGTTATATTTATTTGTCAGAAAAGTCAAACCTCCAGGGAAGGTGGAGTTTGGCTTTAGCGTACTGCATAATCTGTCTCTAGGCTAGATTAGAAGTAGCAACAGTTCAGAGGCCCATACTATCTAATGGTACCCCTGTAGTAAGGTCAATTTACAATAAGATAATATATGAGGGTTCACTAGAGAAAAATACAAATGCAAATCTGAGTAGTTGTTTACTGTACTTAGTGATTACACAATAAAGTAATTGAAAGCAGTTTTCAATTTTTTGTTGTTCATAATCTGAAAGCTAATCATGGTTAATATTTTTCTTCTGTGCCTTTGTCTCCTTCCCACCCTCCCTTCTTTGGTCATAGATTCAATGGCTTTAATGCCCTTTCAGTGAATCAAAGTAATGATGCTTGCATTTATATCTTCAGGTTCTCCAGTATTTGCCCATCTCTCACAGAATGGATGTAACTATTGAGAAACACCCTGATGTGGCCCAGGACAACCAGGACAAATTTGGAAGTGTTGCTGGGTGTGAATCTTTGTCTTCTGATGTATGTTTCTTACTGTGCCCTGGTTCTTCATATACAGATGGTGAGAAATGGCCACTCTTCCCTTAAAACCTCAGTAAAAGGATGGTGCACTTGAGGAAAGTGAAGAGATTTGTTAGCAGGCTTAAAAGATTCAGAATTCAAAAGGCAGTTTCGTTAATATTCCACCCATCTATTTTTTATTTTTTTTAGTAAGGTTGCATAGAACTTTTATTGAATTGTCATTAAGGCCGTTTGTACACACCATGGGGTTTTACTTCGGTTTAATTCTCCCTAAATTGAAGCAGTGGGTTTTTAAAAACATTGCTTCAATTTAGGGAGAAGTAAATCCACATGGCATGTACACAAGGGTTGGACCCAATCCTTACTTGCCTCTCCAGCAGCAGAGAGGAGAGGGTGAGCTGCTAGTGGGCCAAGCAGTCCCTGAGCTGGGGGGGAGGAGGGGGCTGGTGCTTCCCTCCACGGCAGTGACAGCACCCGCCTGCAGGCACCCAGCCTGGGCAGGAAGGTAGGCTCCAGGGAGGGGGAAAAAAAAAGATCAGGCTAGCCACTTTTTTTTTTCCTTCAGTGGAGCCTGCCTGCACAGGATGCTGCTGGGCTGCCTGCATGGGCTGCCTGCACAGCCCCTGAGCTGCACAGGGCCTGGTGCTTCCCTCCGCAGCTGTAAGGTAGCAAACTAAAATACCTTGGACATGTTTTATTTTGCTGCATCCCAAAGTCATTTAATGTGTATTACGCCCCCAACATGTAGAAACAGCTGCACCATTAAAGCACATTATATTGCTGACATTTGTAAACAGCTGTACCATTAAAGCAGTACAAAAAGGCATTAAGCTGCTTTGAAGGCCATTTTTGTGCCATGTTCAAATGGCCTAAGAGTCCAATTAGAAAATACAGGTGGACTCCACTTGATCAAGAAACTGGGGAATTATTTTGATTATAACAAGTGTTGAAATGTTTATCTTTCTGGCTTTCACTCAAATGCTGCCCAAATGTATATTGACTAATTAAGCAATACATCTCTCCAAAAAACACACAGGAAAGCTGCTTCTTGGTGTTTCCTTATTTCTGTTGAATTCTGTTGTTCATATAGCATCACAAATGTGTGTGGCACTTCACAGGCAAAGAATCCCTGAAAAAAATAGCTTCAATCCAGTGGTTCAGTTGTCCCTTCGATGGCCTGGTCCTGAATTCAAGAGAGTACAGAACTGTGTCATCTGAGAAGATTGTTCCCTTCTGTAGCTGGGAAGTAGACTAGTGTGAGTGAGAAAATCAGGGCTGTGGCTTGCAACCTTGCTCCCTCCCCCTCCCCCTGCCCCCACACTCCATTGCTTTCTATTTTGAGAGTTTAGTGCAATATGGAAGGTGTAGCAAGGCACTGAGGTGCCTGCTACTTGCGGAGTAGTAATGAAGGTTGCTACAGCAACTGGTGGGTGTCAGCTGACCGGAAAGGGCAGGGCTTGGCTCCTATATAACTCCCAGGCTGAGGCCAGGCAGGGAGTTCCCTGCCAGCAGCCATGGGGGAAGGGGCTCTCCCAGAGCAAGCAGAGGGGAGAGTCCAGATTGCAGGTACAGCTCCAAGACTGGGGGAAGGATAGAGCACCCCTGACGTGGCAGGAATAATGTAACAGCTGAGCAGCTTGAATTTATGTTACAGCCCATGGGCTTGTGTTTTGTTTCTCGTTGTATAAAATACCAGAAGTTTGGGAGAGGCTATTAGGGGTTGGAGGAGGCCTCCTAGGGGGCCCTTGGCAACGTGAGAACCCCAGCCCCAGAGAGACAGGGGAGCGAGAAGCCCCAGAGAGGCGCAATCTTAAAAGCCGGGGAGCTGTGGTGTGCCTGTGGTGCAGCTTTATTTTGGTATTGTTTTTTTTTTTTTTGTGGCCTGGAGGCTGCAGGCTCGGGATTGGCCCCTGGTTTTGGGCTTGTGGCCCTCTGGCTGTGGGGTTGGCGCCCAGGCCTCTGGACCAGGCTCGAGATTGGAGCAGGAAAAGGAGCCCTGGGCCTTAAGACAATGGAAAAGGCTAGAGCCTCGGAGTCAAACCCTGTTTAGTGGATTTAGATGGGGAGGCCTAGCTAGAGAAAATCAGGGGTCAGTCCCACATAGGGGAAAGGCCCCAACATACCCAATACAATAGGCAGCCTCCCACTCTCAAGCACATCATCCTAATTTCCATCAAGACGTGGCAGGAGAGTGTAAGGCGGGACATAAAAACCCCAAAGAAGGATCCAAGAGTGCCCCACGCAAGGTGCAGAGGACTAGGAAGATGGTGCTGGGCAGGGCGATCTGTTACAGAAGGGCATAATATGTCCTAGAGTAAAGATAATTTTGAATGATTCATTAAATGTGTGCTGGTGAGGAGAACAGTAAGTAAAGAATGAATTGTAAGGTTCTAAAATGGAGAAGGGTATGAGACACACAGTATGGGTGAGGGAGAGAGAGTGCAGCTGCATGAAACGTTACTTCCTGCACATAGTTGCCTCCACTGCTTGTACTGCCTTAATGGTGGTTGTGTACGTGCCCTAAAAGGGCTTAATAGAAAGGAGAAGAAGTTGGAGGATCCACCACTGCATGCATCATGTTCCTTTCGGGACACCGTATGCTTCAGTTTTAAGGGACCCTAAAGGCTGTTGTAGTCCTTAGCACTGTTCTGTGAGAGGCATCATAGGTGCACTGCTGATTTTGGACATTTATTAGCAATTGTCACTCTTCCTGCTATACTAATAACACTGAGCCTGTATGTACTGTGAGGCTTAATCCTCATTAAATTAAATAGGTTTATAACATTTACATTTGTTTATTTTGGAGCATTGCATCAGTGTTTGCATGCACTAGGTTTTTGAGTGAATTAAGCCCGGTCCCTGGACGGCACTGAGGACAGTGCGATGGTCCAGTGCTGTCTGCCTAGCTTAGGGCCCCCACCCCATGCTCTGCCACACCGCTGTGAAAGCAGGGAGCTGGCAAATGGTATAAGAAAAAAAAGCAAAAGCAATTCGAAAGCAAAAACAATTTGAAGTGGTGAACTACGAAAAAGTCACAGCACCATCTGGTGGACAAAGAGGCTCATTATGTGCCTTGGAGTGCCTTTGTGTTTGCACTCAATGACTCCATGGATGTGATGCTTTAATTCATGGCAAGCCAAACTAAACTACATCTGAGGTGTTTTACTTCAATGTGCCAGAAGGACTTTTAAAGCATCTGGAAAACCCACTTGTGCAAACAGTCACGCCATTGCAGTGCAAGAAAGCACAAAAAATGTGGCATGTACAAATGCCCACTATGCACAGAAATATATTGAAGCCTGCTATGTTTTTCAAGTCTGTTCCCCTTGGCTGCTGGTTTTCCAGGATAAAACTCCTATAAATTCTGTACCATTGTTGGTCTGTGAGACTGGAACAAGAGTGGTGCATCCAGTGCTATGACCTTGTATGGATAAGGTCTCTTCTCTTGAGGAAGGGACAGAATAGGGCCCAAGACCTCACAGTAGAGGAAGAGTTGGCAGAGGGTCATTTGAGGATTTGAGGATATTTTTAGGCTTATTGCTGTGGGTGTCTTGGGAAACATCCCTCCCCAAAAGGCCATTGTCTTATCTTGTATCATGTAACTTGTTTTAAAGTGCATTTGGGTAATTCACTTTGCAAGGGAATTGGTAATAAGAAGCTACTCAAAAGCAACTGAGCTCATTTTGATGTTTTGCTTCAGTAACTGGTTATCTAATGGCTTTTTCTGCAGTATTATATTAACATTGCAGGCTTCAGTCATATCCTGTCTAGATCTGAGCCACATGGATTAAACAACAAAATGATTAAACAAAACATTAAAAGAGAAGATGAAGTGAAGTGTAGAATGGGAACACAGATGGCCCATTATGACCAAAACACTGATCTAATATATTAGATTATATATAGCTTCAGTAAATCCCCATGGTCTTGCTGAATTTCAGAAAATTGTAACATATCTATTAAAATGCTTTGACTGTGGTGTCAATATAATGCCCAGGGGAGAGCAGCTTAATATTTGAACTTTCAGAAATCTTGTGGGGAGTCTGCTGCTTGTTCCCAACAGGTACTACTGCAACACAGTTCAAATAAGCATGCAACTGCTGTTCAGCAAGTATGAAATTAGTATAGCCTTTATTCATAAAATCAGCTGGGTGATCAGATTGATCAGCAACAGGGATAGTGCAGAGTTAAACACAAATCCAAAGTGCCTTTCTGTTCTGTTCTTTATACATTAGAAATGCCTACATCAGGCAGACATAATTGCATATTACTACTTAACTATCCTATATGTCTATTTTACCCAGTTTGGGTTGCATCATTCTACATACTTTCCTCATGTTCTATCATGTTTGGGGCCATGCACTTTTACATTTTATGAATGAATGAATTTATTTAAGTACAGCATCCCCTACACATGTGGTGTTTCATGTTTGGTCATATCATCCTGTGCTTTTTTATCCACTGTTGCAGTTTGTACTGATTCCATCCATCTCAGGATATACTTGAACAGATCCCAAGTGTCCTGATACACACTCTGTTGCCCTTCACAGAACTTACAGCTTCCAAGCTTTTAACTCCTCCTGGGCTGCCTTATGACTTACATTGCTAAAGAAGGGCAAAATCTTGCCAACTGTTAATCAGCTTAGCATCAGAAAACAAATAGCAGGATTTAATGTTTGAATTTTTTTTAGCATAGCAGAAGGTGGAAGCATTACCTGAAGCTCCCATACTAAACCCAGTTACTGAAAATCTGAGAAGTGGGGTGGCAAAACTTACAGACATTATTAGGTTAGTCAAGAATAGAACAATGTTTGAACAATGAGCCATTGGCAAGTTTGGTTCCAGATGCAGCTGGGAAAAAAGAACAGGATCAGGAGGAAAAAAACCCTAACATGAATATTTTAATATTTCCAAAAAACTATTTCTAAAACGGGGTGGTGCATGTCAGGTGTAGGTGGTGTTGGAAGTAATTGCATCAGAACTGATTCGCTCATTCTTAATACAGAGGAAGAAGAGGAGCCCTGTTTTCAGGAGCATGCTACTGAGAGAAAATTTACAGCAGCGCCATAATCATATGTGTTGCTATAGCAGTGATGAAACAAAAATAGTTAACATACCTCACTTGCTTGTAGGCTGTGAAGAGTTAATGGAAGGACTGACTAACACCTGGGTGTTTTGTGAACCAGCAATGCTGTCATAGTTCAGGCACTTGGATGCATTAGTTACCCTGTGCTTTCCATTTTGGCAAATAAGTGTTCCTCTAGCAATAACAGCAATAACACCATAAAGTACTGGAGCAAGCTGCATTCAAAATAGCTATTAGTATTTTAACTTTTGGATATGGAGGTTTTAATAAATATCCATTGGATATTCTGTGTCAGACTAAATTCTTTAAAACCTTTCAATATACATAATGAATGGGAGGATGAGAGTGCTGTCTGGATGCTAATAAAGACCATTGCTTTTCAGATGTCACTTACAACTGTTGCAAACTGCAGTTAATTGAGTTCTGGTTTCTTATAGGGCCACACAAAAGGGACACTGCATTCATGTTGCCTTGTCACTGCATAGGAACTGATGAGCTGAAACCTCAGCTCCAACTTCTCCTTTCTCACTTTGGTATCTGCTATGATACAGATAATCTCAAGAACTCGGCTGATGAGATGGAGCTTTTTTCCCTGGTAATAAGATCATTAAAAAAAACCCCCAAACCACTGAGCTGGGTGGCAGGGTGGGGCTGGAGACTGAAGAGTGCAAATAGCATTGTGTGCGGCAGGAAGTGAGTACCTTGTCTTTGATAAGAAGTGCATCCAGATGGAAAGCAGTTAAAAGTTTGGATAACTTCCCTTATAGCATAGTACAGCAATTACTGGGAACATGGATGCATTGCTGTCTAACATGTATGGTAATTTTGATTAAGGTAAATCTATAATCCATAAAAAAATTACCATAATTACCAGGGCTTTATTCTATCTGCTGACCCTCCTGCCATTACACGAGTTCATTTCTCAGACTTGTCTCACTTCATTTTAGCATGTCTTATGACCAAGGATCCTGGTTTTCTCTGATTAAAAAAAATCCCCAATTTTCATATTTTAAAAAGTAACCCCAAATCCACATTTTCCCATGATTAAAATGAAACGCCAATAATATATATTATTTATATATAAAATAAAAGCCTTTGTCTGTAATGCTTTATTTGCGCTCTGATTGGCTGACAGAAACAGCAAATCAGAGTGCTCCAAGCATAGGGAAGCACTGCCATGATTCTGAAGCTGCCCCGAGGACAAGACAGAGGGTGGGGGAGCCGAGGCCAGCCCCGCTCCCTGCAAGATGCAGAACAGCGGCAGCATGGGTTGTTAGGTGGTGGCACTGCATCCCAGCCCCCCCTCCCCCATCATTCTTGATAGGCAATTGGCTAGCATATACATATATGTAAAATCTGTGAGTGTGTATTAGTAGTGTTTCATTTTAATCATGGAAGAATATGGATTTTGGGTTACTGTTTTTAATCTGAAAATTGGGGATTTTTTTTTTTTTTTTTATCAGAGAAAACCAGGATCCCTGTTTATGGCTGCGAAGGATTGCCAAGGATGATGATAACAGTTACTGGTCACTACCACTGGGGGTCAGGCTTTTACATGCCATTAATTATCTTCCTAATTAATTACAGGCTTATCAGTAAAGGTGAACAATATGGGACAGTTTTCTCTTTTCTGCTATAAAAATATCACCATGTAACCCATCCGGGATATAGAAGAGGTATATAATAATTATGTACACATGTTCATATATGTATTCATTTAAAAATAAGCCCACCGGTTGTCCCGTTTGTCTCATTGGGACTAATAACATACCTAAAGTTAAGTATATAAAGCAATATTTGCAAAGCTAGGCCATAGCATGGATTTATTTGTACAATGTGCCAATAATCTAGTTTTTCATCTTTGGAGGTTCTCAAAATAGCATCAGGCAGTTTCATCATCTCTGCTGTAAAAACATGAGAAGGAAGCATAAGGCTTTGTGATCCTCTCTCTTTCAAAGGCCTAGTCATGTTGCAGTTATGTTGTTCTGAGGTTATTCTTGGGCACCTGCCCTGTCCTGTACAGCCTGTCGGGGTACATTCTCTACATACTTTTCAGGTTGTCCGGAAGTTTCGAAGCGTCTTCCACAAACAGCAGGTGATGAGAACATTTCCAGTTTATGATACTGGGCGGCCTGGATCAGAAAACTGGGGTACATTTGATCCTAGCATAGCTTTAAAAAAGCGAGCCAACTGGATTCCTTTTTTACGGGTAAATATAAGTGATTTGTTTTCTTTTTACACTCTGTTGGTAAGTGGCAGTAACTGCAGTTCAAAGTGTTAGAAGTTACTTTTCAGCCATTTAATTTTAATAAGCATACAATGATCCTCTCTGGAAAAATCAAATTATGTCTAACTACCACCATATACTTGGGGGCCACCTCTTAGGATCCATCACTTAGTTTTATTTTATTTTTTACTGAAAGGAAAGAAAGTGAATTTATTGGTCACACCTAGGAAAAACACAGGCCTATTGTCTGTGTTACACAAAGTCATTTTGAATAGCTGTACAGAAGAGAAAACATGGTTTATGACAAAGTGGGTTAATGACATTAGACTAGAAATTAGTACTGAAGAATGGGAGACCATATGGAACAACGGTCCTCACATTATTCTGTACAATAGTAAAAGAAAGTTATCTTATATTGGTGGTTTATCACCTCACTTGAAATGTATTTATGGTACAGGAACAGGGAAATGTTAGAGGGAATGTGGTTAACTGGGAGGATTCTACCACATGTGGTGGATGTGTCCCAGAATGAAATTGTTTTGCATGAAGGTTGGAGACATGGTGAGGAAAATAACAAGATGCCAACTATTAGGTAATCCTTTAGTGTTCCTATTAAATTTTCCTGAATGCTCTGTGTCATAAAAGAGGCATAAGAAATTGATTGCTCATCTTGTAACAACTGCAAGAAATACAGTTGCAAAAACATGGACGAGAACTGCCCCCCGCCCGCTCTCCCCTTAAAATCACTGGGTGTTTGTACATGCCACGGGAGTTTAATTTGGTTTAGTTCTCCCTAAATTAAAATTGTGGGTTTTAAAAAAACCACCATTTCTACCATTTCTATATAGGGAGAATTAAATCAAATTAAACTCCGGTGGCACAACACAAGGGTGGGGGCCCGATCCTTAGAGCTTACCTATCTCTCCAGGGTCAGAGTGGAGGAAGGCAAGCTGCTGGTGGGCTAAGTAGTCTGTGATCTGCACGGAGGCCTGGTGCTTCCCTACAAAGCTGCAATGGGGCTAGTGCTTCCCTTTGTGGTGGCACATGCCCTCTGGCACCCAGCCCAGGTTGTCCCAGGGGGACGCCGCAGCTGGGGAGGGAAGAACTGGGCCCCCACACAGCTCAGGCAGGCTCTGGGAGGGGCGGGGGAAAAAAAGATCAGGCTCCTTGCCACTTTTTTTTTGTTCTTCAGTTGAGATTGCCTGCATGGGCTGCTGCTGGGTTGCATAGCCCCCGAGC